AGTTCGGTTGATGAAATGCAGTTCATAATGATATTTACCAACTCCAAGGGGACATTGATTTCTTCCACAACTTTTTTAATGAATCCCCAGGAGACACAGTCATAAGCCTTTTCCAAGTCAATTTTTATAGCAAAGAAGCCACGCTTAACTCTCATTCTCCTCATAGAGTGAATCATTTCTTGGGCTATAATGATGTTGTCCGGAATGTCTCTTTGGGACAAAACTGACCTGATGAGGGGGAATAATTTTATGAAGAAAAAGTTTCAATTTATTAACCAACAGCTTGCTGATACCCTTGTATAAGACATAACACAAGGCAATAGGCCTAAGTTAGGCCACTTTCTCAGGCTTGGATACCTTGGGAATGAGAACCAGCAGAGTTTTATTGATAGATTCCAAGCTAGAAGGATTCTTCCAAAACTGATGAATAGAAGCCATGGTTTGACCACCAATTAAGTCCCAATTCCTTTGGTAAAAATAAGCAGGAAACCCATCTGGACCAGGGGCTTTTAGAGCACCCATACTACAGAAGGCCTCAAAGATCTCAGAATTGGTAATGTGGGCAGCCATATGTTGTAAGTCCTCTCTCTCGAGATTTGGCCAAGTTTTGCTGGTTGTGTGCCAAGGCATGTCCATATTATCTTCAGTGAAGAAGGATTTGTAAAAAGAGAGAACAATGTTAATAATGGATGTTTCATCCCTCATCAACCTGCCATCATCATCTCTCAACTCCATAATCTTGTTTCTAGCCCTTTTCATGATGGTGGTAGAATGGTAGAACCTCGTATTTCTATCCCCATCAGCTATCCACTTACAATTAGCCTTCTGGAACCACAAGCTCTCTTCCTCTTCTAGGACAACAGTGATTTCATTTTGGAGGGCTTGGTCTAAAGCTAGAACAACCTCATCATTACTCCTTTGGGACTCGGATTGAGCCTTTTGAAGCTTGGTGATGAGGGAATCTTTTTTTTTTGGATATGACCAAAAACATTTTTATTCCATTCCTTAAGAGGAGCAACCAAATTAGTCAGGGCTGCAGAAACATTGGTATTTCTATTCCAGGTGGATTTGAGAAAAGGAATGAAATTAGCATAGTCCTACCAAGCAGCCAAAAATCTGAACAGCCTTTCCCTCCAAGAAGAATCAGCAGGATAGAGAGATAAAAGAATTGGGTTATGATCAGAGTTCAATCTAGGAAGAGTACGAGCCCTGGCTTCTCCAAAGATGGTTCTCCAAGAAGCATTAGCACACACTCTATCTAGTCTTTTAAAAACTCTCTCCAGGTGAAGACATTTAGTACCTCTCCACGTAAATTTAGAGCCAGCACAACCAATGTCCATCAGATTGTAATCATCAAGAACTTCAATAAAATTAAGACATCTGGTCAGATTCACAGGAATACCCCATTTTTTCTCCCTAGCATACATGATCTCATTGAAATCACCCATTATCATCCAAGGCTTAGATAAATTGCTGCTAATTCTACGGAGGTCCTTCCAAAGATCTTGTCTCACCTCTTCTCTGGGGCTAGCATAGACCACAGTTAGAACAAAATTCACACCATTGCTGTCAAAACAGTTAACATGGATATATTGATTCAACTTTTCAATGAGCTCAATTGAGAAATGCTCTTTATTCCACAGAAGCCAGATACCCCCCATGTAACCGATAGCATCTTCAATAAAAAAGGATTTAAATCCTAGTTGCTTGATTCTACGCAAAGCTACTACTCCACTAATTCTGAGTTCAAGGATAGCAGCAAAACCTACATTGTATTTTTTGGTGAAATTCCTCAAGGTAGATTTGAAAGGCTTCTTAGCTGCTCCCCTGCAATTCCAGACTAAACAATTCATTGACAAAGGTTAAAGTTTCCAGGGTTTAAGAGTACCTGGGAACTTAAATCATTATCCTTCTCTTTTTGTTCGATGATCATTCCATCCATCTCCATACATTCAATTTTATCTGTTGGAAGCAGTTCAACTTTAGCATTTGGATCAGGTGGCTCATCCTCGGGAAGACCAGCTTCTGCTGCTTGCACCTGGCTAGAAATACCTCTTCCATCGCAGAAAAGGAACAATCAGGGCAAGGATTGGGCTCCTCCAGCAAGTCTTCAGTTTGCTTTAGCTCCATAGAGTCAGAGATTTTAGCAGGCAAGCAGGAAACTAGCTTATCTTTTGTATTACCACCTGCCAGCATTGTCTTTGAGTCATGCTCTTTGGAAACAGGGGAAATGATAGGCTTCCACACATTCTCTCTTTTGGATGAGTGACTAACAGCTGAGACACCAGCAGGTCCCACCTGTTGAGGAGTAGGAGATCCAAAAGGAGCATTAATGGGGACCATCACCTTTGTTTTCAATCTTTGAGAATGGCTCTTTTTTGTCTTGTTTTCAGTGGCCTTTGCTGAAAATAGCATTTCTGGGTCGTTGGAAGTGGGCGATTAATCCCTTTTGAGGGGCCAAGAGAGATAGGTTTTGGAGGAGTGGTTTGGTGGGATTTATCTCTGTTTTTGTTCTTCACTGTTTTAGAATGGGTTGGTGTGACTTTGTTAGTCAGGTCAGCACCAAAGCTCCTATTATCAGAATGGGTCATTTGTGGCTTGGGATTTTTTCTTCCTGTGTTTAATGATCCAGAACCATTTTAAATTTTCCCCTTCTTATGAAGTTTTGAGCATGTCTAATACTCAAAACTTGAAATTATTAAGGGAATATAATTTCTTATGTACATGAGATAAAATTGTCTCATGTATATATACAAAAGTAGACGAGACCAACTAAGGACAAGAAAGGGAAAAAACAAGTGGGTCCCATCCATTTTTTTGTGTATGCATGAGACAATTTTATCTTATGCCTTATAAGAAACTATAATCCAATCAATATAATGTTGTCAAAATTAAGTTTCTACATAGAAATGGAAGGAAATGGTAGAAACGTAAATCGTAGAAATGATACGAAACGTAAAATTTCTACTACTTAAGGTCAAAATACAAAATTATATATATATGTGTGTGTGTGTGCATGTAAAAAAAAACAACCCTATAAGTCACTACTCAAAATTCAATGAACAACTTCATATTTAAAAGATATAAGTTACATAACTATATATGATATAAGTTCAAAAAGACAAAAAGAGTTAACAACTCTTACAACCAAGTTTCAAACTATCAAAAGAATAAAATTTAATAACTCTTAAATGGAAATATGGAAATACAACAGCCTTCAGCAGGATTTTTGTTTTCTTTTTTTAATATAGCTAGAAGAAGATACTGTGCATTTGATATAGGGGAAATGGAAATAGAGTTTATTTTATTTAAAAAATAAAATAAAATCGGGTTATGGGTTAAAAATTGACCCGCTTGAGTTTTTTGATTTAAGTAAAAACGTAAAAACTTGCGTTTCTACTATTTTTACATTTTTATGCAAAATTTTTAACAATTTTTACTAGGGAAATGTTTTACTTATACTTTAACACATGATTTCAGTCAAAACGTAAAAACAAATTTTTAATTTTTTATATTAGTTTTTGATAACAATGATTCAATTATTAAATTATGCTGAAATAACTTCGGGTGAGTTAATGCTGGGTGGTAATTTAATATTACGTTAGGACGTTTGGTACGAGAGAAATTTTTTTTTACCTGGAAATTTTTTTTCTTCTGAAAATATGATGAGAAATTTTTGTTACCGGGTAAGTAATGAAAACATGTTTGGTAGCCTAAAATTTTGTCGATAAAATTTCCCCCATCAGCGGAAGCTTTTTTTACCATGTTCTCAGTGGTCAAATTCTATAACATGTTAATGTGAAAAATAACTTGAGGGGAAGAAAATTTTTCAATCTCATTTTTAAGTCTTCCACCTGCCAAACAAGGCCAAATATTTTACCCAACTCCACTTTTATGGGAATTTTTTTGCATTCTACCAAACAGCCCCTTAACTATAATAATTTGAGGGAAAAATATATGTTATTTTAAATGACACAGCTTACCTTCTTTCACTCTTACAGAGAGGTGTGACTCATATTTTTAAAACTTTTTCCTTTCCCTATCTCCCATATTTTATCTCTTTCTTTCATTTAAAAGGGAAGGTTATAGTTACAACCTATTTTTTTTACAACCTCTTACAACCATATATCTTAACTGTTGATTTCCGCCAATCAACGGTTAAGATTTTCGCAAATTAAATTTATTAATTAATTATTAAATCACAATAAATGATAACTGTTGATTGACGGAAATCAACGGTTAAGATATATGGTTGTAAGAAGCTGTAAATAAAATAGATTGTAAGTATAACTTTTCCCCATTTAAAATGATATAATTTGTAGAGGAAGGTTATACTTACAACTTTTTTTTTACAACCTCTTACAACCAAAATAATAACCGTTGATTTCTGCCAATCAACGGTTATTATTTTGGCAAATTAAACTCATTAATTAATTATTAATTCACAATAAATGATAACTGTTGATTGGCGAAAATCAACGGTGTTAAGATATGGTTATAAGTGGTTGTAAAAAAAAAAAAGTTGTAAGTATAACCTTCCTCTAATTTGTATCCTTTCAAATAATACATCACATTTTTAAAACTTTTTCCTTTCACTGTCTTCTATAATTTATCTGTTTCTCATTTAAAATAATATAATTTGAACCCCTAGGGTAGCTCAGTTGGCAGCTGAGCTCCCAAGGGATTGCTTGGTGCAGGGATCAAACCCTGCCTCAAGCAGTTTCTTGAAAAATCTTTGGGGGTCAGAGGATAAGCCAAAAATCTTCGGTTGGGGGATTAGTCTCGTCCTTTCTCCGATTGCGTTACAATGAGGGGCTAGCCCAAACGGACCGTACCCTGAGGGCATGGTGCCCGAAGAAGGTTGAATGGGGATACCTCCTGGCAATGTACCAAAAAAAAATGATATAATTTGTATCCTTTCAAACGATGCACGTTTTTTTCTATAATTTGAAGTTAATAAAATTTGGTCTGTTTTTTACGTGATGAAAGTTGGTACCAGATAGAGAAATATGTGGTAGATGAGGAAAAAACGAAAGAGAGAGGGGGGCGTTCTACCAACAGGGCGCACGTTAGCCGAGTTCCGCTGATACCTACACTATAAAACTCAAAACGTTGCCACTAAACCATTTTTCTTTTCTTTTCTTTTTTCCGAAAATGGTGGCTGCTTCTTCTGCTTGCTTCACCGCAATCGCCGCCCCTTCCAAAACCCTAGCAAAGCCCTTAGCCACTGCCAGTGTCGCTTTTTCGAAGCTCAACCTCAAACCGGTTAGGGTTCGGCGATGCACTGCCATCAATGGCGGCGCACTCGGCGCTCGGATGGTGTCAGCGCCGCCTATGGCGCCTCCGGCTTTGCTCGATTTTGACACTTCTGTCTTCAAGAAGGAGAAGATTAGCCTCGCTGGACACCCAGAGGTATTGGATTGAACTCTTCAATACTTCTCAGTTCTTTATTTTTTTAGTTTCTCACTTCACTCTGAGAAATTAACGTTTTTTTTTTTTTTCTTCTTAATTATTATTATTAATATTTTTTTTGGTTAATTTGTTGTAGTACATCGTGAAAGGAGGGAGGGATTTGTTCCATTTGTTGCCGGATGCTTTCAAGGGGATTAAGCAGATTGGTGTCATTGGATGGGGTTCACAGGTTAATATTTTTATTTATTTTTATTTTTTGTAAATTTTAACTCAATTTTCCATTGAGCATGTATAACGTGCATTATTGAAAAAAATAAAAATAAATCATTTTAAATGTTGTGCTGATAAAATGCATGGCTTCTACTTGTTGCGGTGGTGTTGTATTGTGAGAGATTCTTGTATAAAGCTAGTGTAGTCAGTAAGGTATTGAGTATTGACACGTTATTAATACAATAGTGTACATAACGTTTTATTAATCATGAATCAATGATGCGTGATACTTTACTGGCTTGGTGCACTTGCGCTCAGGTTAGGTACACTATGTTCGTATAAGAATCTCTCGTTTTGTATTGTTAGTTGACTGATGCATTGTGAAATGTATACAAGTGTTTTTCTGTGAGGAAATTTGTTGTAGTTAGAGTATCGGAGTGGAGTGTTGGATGCTTTGTTCATTATTTAAACATTTGTAGTCATCACATTTCTTTTTGACTGATTAAAAAAATTTGAAGACATCTTTTCCGGGTCCATAGTTTTTTTTTTCCAGATTATGACACAGTCCATAATTTTCATTTGATTGCTATCTTTGCACTGCATTCGCCAGGGACCTGCTCAGGCCCAGAATCTACGGGACTCACTTGCTGAAGCAAAGTCTGATATTGTGGTTAAGGTGATTTTGGGTTTCATTGTTTTTTGGTTCATGTAGTTACTTGTTAAGATCTTTTGATTAATTTGTCTTTTTCCAAAACCTAGTTATTTTAACGTCTTTGTCTTTTAACAAGACAGATTGGACTCAGGAAAGGTTCTCGTTCCTTTAATGAGGCTCGGGCAGCTGGTTTTAGTGAGGAGAATGGAACTCTAGGTGACATATGGGAAACTATCTCAGGCAGTGATCTTGTGTTGCTGCTAATTTCAGATTCTGCACAGGTTAGTCAATTCAAGTCAGTGCTCTAGAAATTTTCAAATTTTTTGGTACTGTTTTTGTTGCTCTGTATTTATGTTCTGTTTCACCTCCTGTTGTTTTTTTATTTTGATAAAGTTGTTAACTGTTATGATGTTATCCCAATGTTTTCAGTCATATTCTCATGTCTTTCATTCCTGAGCTGGGTGCTGTCTGCTTTTGGATCACTTGGTATAAAGCATTTAGATAATGTAGTGGTAGAGAATGAGGAAAACAAAGATGTGTTATGTGCTGTATCGAACAATGTTTTGGTGATGCAATGCAATTTTGCTGTAATGTTCAAAGCTCAAAATATTCCTGCTTAGGATAGCTTATAATTTGTATCTCTTCATAGATTTCATAGGAGCCATAGTTTGTTGATTTTACCAAAAAGTAGACAAGTTGTGTTGTAGTTTTCTGATATTTTGTGTCTCTCCTGTCTCTCAATCAATAATTTTTTTAATATTTTTCTTTATCATGCAGGCAGATAATTATGAAAAAATATTCTCCCACATGAAGCCAAACAGCATTCTTGGGCTGTCCCATGGCTTTCTTCTTGGGCATTTACAGTCAATAGGACTTGATTTTCCAAAACACTTCAGTGTAATTGCTGCATGCCCCAAGGGGATGGGTCCATCTGTCAGGAGGCTGTATGTCCAAGGCAAAGAGATAAATGGTGCTGGAATTAATTCAAGTTTTGCAGTGCACCAGGTGATCTCTCTATCTTTCCCTCTCTTCTTTTCCTTTCCTCCTTGTGGTCTCGTTGCCCATATTTATTTAGTTTGATTAATTTATTTGGCTGTGAATGAGCTTACTGCAGGATGTGGATGGCAGGGCTACTGATGTTGCTCTGGGTTGGTCTGTTGCCCTTGGTTCTCCTTTTACCTTTGCCACTACATTAGAGATGGAATACAGGAGTGACATCTTTGGGGAGAGAGGCAAGAAAATCTTTCTTGCAGTGCCTTGATGTTTTCCTTGAAGATTTAGTGCCTAACTTCTGAATTTATTGCTTATAGGCATTTTGCTTGGTGCTGTTCATGGAATTGTGGAATCCTTGTTTAGGAGGTACACTGAAAATGGAATTAGTGAAGATCTGGCTTATAAGAACACTGTTGAGTCCATAACTGGAATCATATCTAAAACCATCTCAACTAAGGTTGGGATCTCATACTCCTATTTAAATGCTAAGTTCTCGTCTCTTGGATTTTTTCCCTGAGTATGTGAATGTGTGCTTTTGAGTTATGTCATAAACTTTTTGCTCTTTTTTTTGCCTGGATAGGGCATGTTGGCTGTATACAACGCTTTATCTGAAGATGGAAAAAAAGAATTTGAGAAAGCATATAGTGCTTCATATTATCCCTGCATGGACATTTTGTATGAGTGCTATGAAGATATTGCTAGTGGTAGTGAGATTCGCAGTGTTGTTTTGGCTGGGCGTCGCTTTCTGGTAAGTGGATATTTCCCATTTAGAGTTGGCCTTTATGCAGCACACTTGAAATTATACACATTTCACTGTTTTACAGGAGAAAGAAGGTCTGCCTGCATTTCCCATGGGGAAAATTGATCAAACCCGGATGTGGAAGGTTGGTGAACGTGTCCGATCTACACGGCCAGCAGGTGATCTAGGGCCATTATATGCATTTACTGCTGGTGTCTATGTGGCATTGATGATGGCCCAGGTATGTTTACTTATTCTGTTAGCATTTTTTCTTGCTAGTTTATTGGAAGTTGGTATGTTCTATGTAACACATTTTCCCTGCTGCTTGCAGTACTTATTTTACTCAAATTTGAAAAGGCTCTTCTAAAAGGAGCAAGGGTTTAACCCTTAAATTTTAGTGGATTAAAATCACATGCACCTTATATTAAATTAAGGGTAAATGCATGTTATTTGTTTACTTTAGAAACAAATTCACTTTAGATGAGTTTTGTCCTCAAATTTGAGACTAAGTAATCATCTATTAATAACAAAGAACGAAATTTATGATCTTCATGTTCATGTTTCTTGTTTATCTTTGCTGGGGTGGAATTGGAACTTAAAAGTTGACCTTTTTGTTTTGCTTTTAAAATTTGATTACAAAATTTCCAGATCGAGATCCTGAGGAAGAAAGGGCATTCCTACTCCGAAATCATTAACGAGAGTGTCATTGAGTCTGTTGATTCTTTGAATCCTTTCATGCATGCTCGTGGTGTTTCTTTCATGGTTGATAACTGTTCTACCACAGCAAGGTTGGGTTCAAGGAAATGGGCTCCCCGATTTGATTACATCCTAACCCAGCAGGCATTGGTGGCAGTGGACAGTGGCGCACCTATCAACCAAGACCTCCTCAGCAACTTCCTGTCAGATCCAGTGCACGGAGCTATTGAAGTTTGTGCTGAACTGAGACCTACAATGGACATTTCAGTGACAGCAGATGCAGACTTTGTTCGTCCTGAGTTGCGCCAGTCTAACAATTAGAACTTGAACCAAATATTGCTTTTGTTGAGCCAATTCCTATTCAGAATGTTTAGAATAGCATCTTCCTGTTAGTGTGTTTTGTTTACATGTCTCGGGTAGCGTATGGAAGTTTGTATTATCACTTTGTAGTACTAAGATTGTACGAATGTGGAAAGTTGCTTAATGTCTTATTTATGAGTTAATAAATTATGTTCAAAAATCTTAGGGATGTCATTGTTTTCATCATCGCTATATTTAAAGACATTTTCTGCTTGGGGTTCTTTGAAGAGTTAGAGGCGACAGATCAAGGGTTTTATTTAGTGAAGTTCACTACAAATATTCTACCATGTGTTTCAGAATATATTGGATTCAGATTTAAAAGGATTTTAATGAATTATTTTTTGATAATTTTTTTTTTTTTTGCTATTCAATTAGAATTTTGGAGTCTCTCCAAATCCGTTGGTATTCAATCAGAATTTTAAACAAAAGAAAAATAATTTTATGGTATTTAAAAAATATGATGATTTTAATGAATTTTTGTAGATTTTGAAAGACTTTTTAATGATAAATATAAATAGAATATCTTTATCGCAAATTTACTCTAATCCCTATAAATAGATTTCTTAAGAAATAGAATATCTTTTTCTTCCTTTGGCGGATCGACTCGCTCGAAATCGGGTTCTGTTATAGGAGATTCGTCAAAGTTCAAAAACAACAGATTTTTGAACGATTTTCATCACAAAACAACTCAGAAACAATAACCCATCTAAAAAATAGTAGATTTTTGAGAGTTTTTGGAAGTTTAAAAAATAATTTTTAAAGCTATTGGTCGCGATTTTTCTTAGTACAAATTTGTGTGATTTTTGTATTAAAAACAATATAAAATAATAGAAAAACAACAAGGAACAAAAACTCCAAACAAATTTTCGTTTTACATCAATGAAACAAGATCGATTTAAAGAAACATTGAAACTTTTATAATACGAACCCTATATTTCATAACAATACATTCATGAACGAAAATCTTTCGCTATAGGAAACAATATTAAACAATTTTTATGTCAATAGATCACTAAAAATTTGTTTTTCAAAAGACCTAAAGTAATTTAAGGTTTCAATGTATCGTTTGAAAATAACTTGAGAAATTTTCTAAACTTTCATGTAATAAAACTCAGAAATTAAGATTCAAAATTTTCTTGGAATACTCATTGAAAACATGCATATGATATACGGTTAAAAAACTCTCATTACATAGAACAAAAACCCCCAGGTTTACAAGATCGATTGCAAAAAATTTCGAACGAAATTTTATCATGAATTTTACTGATTGAGAAAATTATATTAGGTTTTAAATTTTTTTATTAATATCATTGCATTTCTTTGTTATTTTTTTATTGGCTCTTGCAATCAATGATGAAAAAACTGGACCGGACCGGCCGGGTCGACCCGGAATCCGATAAACCGGTCACCTGACCGATCCGGTTAGCAAGTTGGATCGGAAATGTAACAGACCCGGTATGACCCGGCCGGATTTTGAGAGAACCGGCTGGGTCATGTATATTATTTTTTTTTTTTTGAAAAAAAAAACATAAACGACGTTGTTGGGTCAACAAACCACAAAGGCACAATTCACAAACAAAGCACCAAAGAAAAAGAGAACGGCTGAGACTGTGAGAGAGTGGAAGAAAAAGAGACCCACAAGTAGATCTGATTATTCCATAGTTACGAAGATGATACCTTGAGAATCGATTGAAGCAGTGCTTAAGTTGAAGCTTGAAGCCAAGCTTAAGTGAGAGTTTTTTGTTATTTCTTCCAGGGAGGTACTTACGGCTTTCTATAAATCGAATCAGAAGAGAAAGCCTGACCAGATTATATTCTACAGGTTGGATTTGGTTTGAACAAGACACTACTATGTTTGTTATGCACATGTTAATATAATTCTTTTCTTTTCAATGTCAATTTGTGCTTAACAGAGATGGAGTTGGTGAAGGCCAATATAGTCAGGTTTTGCTTGATGAGATTTCCGCAATACGAGATGTATGCTCAGATAGAATTAAAAATATGTTCTTGTAGATGATTTAATTATCATATTTGTGATTTCTGTGTTTCATATTTTTGAAGCTTGAAGATGATACCATATATACAGACTGCATGTGAGTGAAACTATGTAGCACCGATACGACATGCGACACGACACTTCGATATGTCAATCCTAAAAAATTATGAATTTGACATGTTGGGACACGTTTTAATATTAAATAATATTTTTAATTTATATAGTGTATATTTCATTTAATAATTTAACAAAAAAATGAAACTAAATTAATAATACCCATCAACACGTTATAAAGATGGAAGCTTTAATAAAAAAATAAGAACTGGGATGAGAGAGAGATATAATATCAGATAGAGAGATCAAATCATATTAGAGAGAAATCAGAGAGAAGAAGATACAATAAGAGCGTGATAGGAATTGACAACAATGATGCTGAGATGATCTCTTATCTACTTAACTTAAGGGAAAAAAAGACAAAAAGACAAAATTGATATGATCAGGTGGAAGCTTTATTAATATATTTTAACTTTAAAAAAAAAAAATTTAAAAAAAAATTTAAAAAAAATTAAATTTTTTTTACGAAAATGCCATTTGACCGTGTCGGACACGGTCAAATTCGCGTGTCGGAATGGTCAACGTGTCGGAAAAAGTCAACCGCGTGTCCGACACCGTGTCGGAGTGTGTCGCCGTGTCGAAGCATGTCGGACCCGACTCTTTCTATTTTTACAAGTGTCCGTACTTCCTTGGAGTGAAATAAGGAAACTAAATCAATTCTAATTAAGGGGAAAAACAACAACAATTGCTAACACAAGGGCAGAGGTGCAGCGAGCTCGTCTAGGCTCTGCACCTTAGCATTCAATTTCCTTGCTTTAGTTGAATTCAATGAATGACTTTCCCTTTCCGGCAAAAGGGCCTCTGTTGTGCAATATTAGGCCAACATTTGGGTATATACTGATCCGCTATCAATTAGGGACTGATTTGCCTTAACCTTTCAATTAATGGTTTGAAATTATTTTCTTTCTCTATGAATGATTAAATGACGGATGGAAGAAGAGAAAATGCATTTCTTTATCACCACGAACTGGACATCAGTCTTCAGGAACTGCACAAATATTATACGTTTGTTTGATTTTTTGTTGGAAAATATTGTGTGATTTATTGCTTTTCAAATTAGAATATTTGGAATTGGTATAATTTTTTACAGGTATTTGAGTGTGTTAATAGTTTTTTTTTTAAATAAAAATTACATATTTGTATATACTTACCGGGTCATGCGATTGAACCAGTGACCCATTGACCCGGTACCTCGACCGAGTCGATGACCGGGTCAAGTTTAATAACATTGCTTGCAATTTTGAATAATTGTTAAAAATTCATATAGTTTTTTAAAATCTTATAAATCCATAATATCTTTTCAAATCTTATAAATTCTATTAAAATCTTTTAAAATTGAATATTATGAAATCTTGATTGTAAAAAAAGTTTTTTGAAAAAGTCTTTAAAGTCTCATTAATCCTAAATAGTCTTTTAAAATTTATATGATTTTTTATCTTAAAAAAGTCTTTTCAAATCCTAATTGAATACATCCCCCTTAAAATTAATCGTTACGGCAAAATAAGACATTTGTCATCTTAAGGATCGTAAGAGGGTGTATTGGATTGAGATTTTAAAGAATTTTAGTGGATTATTTTTAGACAAAAAAATTCGTTAGTATTCAATTAAGATTTTAAAGGAATAAAAAAAAGTCACGTGATATTCGATTAAGATTTTAAAAGATTATTTTGGAGTATGTCTAAATCTGCAATTAGAATTTTAAACAAAGAAAAAACAATCTTGTGGTTTAAATCTAACGATTTTAGTGGAATTCTATTGTGTGAATTTTGTGAGACTTTTTAGTGAGAAATATAAATAGGATGTCTTTCTTACAATCTCATCCTAACCCCTAAGATTTATTGAGATTCTTCTATTATAGTACTTTTTTTTCTTTTTGCGGGTTGATTCACTCAAATTGGGTTCCACCATATGAGGTTTGTCAAAGATCAAAACAGCAGATTTTTAAGCAATTTTCATCACAAAACAACCCAAAACAACAACTTAACAAATTCTAATCTAATCCATTTCAAAAATAGCATATTCTTGAAAGCTTTTGGAAGTTTAAAAAATAATTTTTCAAGCTTATGGGTCATGATTTTTTTTAGCATAAAAATATGTGATTTTTGTATTAAAAATAACATAAAACAGGGGAACAAAAACTCACAAACCAATTTTCGTTTTACGTTAGTAAATGAGATCGATTTAAAGCAGGCTTTAATGTTTCTACAGTGAATGAAACGACATCATTTTGGATTGAAAAATTAAAAAATTATAATAAAAAAGACTATTATAACCTTGAAATAATTTATGATTATAAAAATACTTTGATTTTCGCCTCAAAACGACGTCGCTTTGGGCTCAATGTAGATAAGTTACTTACATTGATGACAAAGAAAGATTGAAACTTTCATAATATAAACACTATGTGTCATAACAATACATTCATGAACGAAAGTCCTTCGCTATAGGAAAGGATTGATTGGAAAATTATATTAGTTTTTACTTTTTTTTGTAAAAATTATTGCATTTCTTTATTTTTTTAATTGACTCTTTTAATTTTGAATATTGTTAGAAATTTAAAATTTTAAAATCTTATAAATTCATATTGTTGTTTCAAATCTTATAAATTTTTTAAAATCTAATGCTATAAAATCTTGATGGTAAAAAAGTCTTTTGAAAAAATCTGTAAAATTCTAAATAATTTTTTAAAATTTTAATTTTAATTATTTAAAATAATTTTTAAAATCCTAATCCGTGAAAATTAACTATATTGGAATCACACATTTTTAAAGTGTGTTAAAAAATTAAATCACTTATTTGAAATGCTGTTTAAGAACCGAAACACAACCAGTTTAAGAACTAAGAAGAACTGAAGCAGCTAAATTTTTGATATCAAGCACCTAATTCCCTTTCGCAATTCACGCATGGTAATAATACCTGAGCTTTCCTCCATGATCTTTCTTCTTTACAGTTTCTACGGATTCGATCAGTTGAAGCTGCAACCTTGATGTACCCATCTCTCTTGGCCTCTGCTTGCACTTGCTGGGTACGTGAGATTGGTTGAGAACTTGCGGTGTGTGTCG